AAGAGTCTGTGCAGATATAACATTTGTTTAAAAAAAGACAGAATAAAAGTCAAGAAATTCAATTTATGACAGATCAATCTGTGCTTCATTGGTTGAAATTTCATATATATGTATTTTTCCGTTTTTATATCTATTGGCTATATTTTCGTGCTTATTTAGATAGTTAAATATGATTCCTATTTATTTTTTTCAGGCTTTACATAATGGAAACTTGATTGTTTTATAGTTGATTCTCTTTCCTATTTTTCACCGTATATGTATTTTTATTTTTAATAAATCCAAAGTCCATTACTTTTATGTTTAATTTGCCATGATCTACCAGCCACTTCCATAGCCCCAGTGACCATTGTAACGTCGTCAACCTCCCTGATTTTCTCCAAGTTCAGAAAATTGAGTCGATAATTACGACATTAAGAACAATGACCTTGCAGAAATTTTTTCATTTTTTCGATATATGGGTTATGTACAGAAGAAATCAACTTCTCATTAATTTCGTGCTTCAACTTTAAATCCTGCAATTCTTTCTTTGTTTTTCGTTGTAACTTGTAAGTAGAGACCAATATAGCAATTAAAACTTAACGGCATAATGATACAGTAGGCAATAAAGTCAACTTAACCAGTGAAAACACACTGATGATGACATTGTAGAGACTTTTAAAAAGTCAACTTTAACCCGAAGCCTTATAAGTTGGTCTCTATTTTCATCTTTATTTGATGTGAGATTTTATCCTCTAACATACTCTCAAAAAATGGTGGCTCATTTGAGTAAACCAATCTTAAAATCTGTATACTCATTAATTGAGTTTTAATGTCCATCTTAAAAGTTCAACCTTATTAGGAGGGGTAATTCAAAACCTTATAAGTTGGTTTATATTTCCATCATTATTCGATATGAGATTTTATCCCTTAACAGATATGTCTTCGCTCTACAAAAATATAAGAAGCCAATAAACAAATTATAAGTGAAAACAACCAAAATTAGTTTTTGTTAATTTGTGACTCAAATTTCATGTGATTTGAAATTGTAGTTTATGGAGAAAGCCTAGATAATTTCCATTTAGAAGTTTAGATAGATAAGGGATCAAATTTCATAATGCATTGAGAGTTTGATTTGGATAAAGGCTTTGGGATTAAAAACTCTACTTCATCCAGAACTCCAAATTTTGGCTTTTATAAATACTCCACAAAATGTAAGCTCAACATAACAATTAGATCATTGTAGCATACATTAGAAATTTGAGAGAATTATTTAGATTTAAATTGAGAGAATTAAATCTTGTAAAGACAATTTTAGTTTTTTAATATAATAAATTATCCTCTTCTTCCACAAAATTCTTGTTTGTTGTCTAATCCATTATTTTCATATTAACCTTATTTTCTCGTTATTTAATTATTTGGCTAGATTCTCAACAAATTAGGGGGTGTTCTCTTTGTGTTTCAGTTTTGTGTTTTGAGTTTTGAATTCATTTTGAGTTTTGTGTTTTGGATGTTTGTTTTGAAATTGTTGAAAATGCGTTCTTTTTGTTAGTTTCTCAAAACAAAAAACAAAAAAAAATTTTTTTTTTAAATTTTGAGAATCACCACAACACCACCTCAAAACACCAAAAAAAAAAAAAAAAAAAAAAAGGGTTTCCCGCGTTTTCAATTTTTTCAAGTTTTACACTGAAAACGCCCAAAACGACAAAAAAGTCGTTTTGTGTTTTCTTCACAAATTTTTTTTCGTTTTCGAAAATTCGTTTTCGAAAACGGGAAAGAGAACGCGTTTTCACCGTTTTGAAAAATCGAAAACAGAAAACGACCCAAAAACGGTAAAGAGAGCAGGGCCTTAGTATCTAAGTTGCTCTCCTTAACAAGTGATATCAGAGATGAAGGTTTTTGGGCGAGTTTTTAAAAGGTCCAAATTAACTATTAAAAAGAGGTTGAAGCAAGGTCAGTTGTTTCAGGGTTGACAACTACAAAATTTGAAATTCCACTTTTGAATCACAACAATATATTCTCTTTGTGGCAAATCAAAGATGCTACAGGTTCTAGCCCAATGGGTCTTGATTATGCTTTTTTAGGTATAGATAGAATGTTCGTAACAATCATTGTAGAGGAAAAGCAATGGCAAGATCGAAAAGCCCTATCACAAATACATCTTCATCTTTCTAATCAAATCCTTCAAGATGTTGTAAAAGAGAAAAGTGCCACTGGGTTGTATTTAAAATTGGAGCAGCTCTATGTAACAAAAATTTTGACAATTAAGTTACACTTGAAACAGTCGTTGTATTCTCATAGTTAGACAGAAGGTGGATATTAGAAGATTATCGGTGTTCAAGGAAATCGTCGCTAACTTGGAAATCATGGAGGTCAAGTATGATGAAGAGGATTTGGGACTGATATTGTTATGTTCATTGCCGCCTTCATATGTGACTTTTAGAAATATCATTCTCTATAGTCGGGGATGCTCTTATTATTGAAGAGGTACATGATGTGCTTTATTCCAAAGAGAATATGAAGCATCTAATCGTCAGATTTGAGGTCAAGGCAGAAGGTCTTGTTATCATGAGAAGAAGACGGTCATGAAGGGGACAAAATCAAGGATAGCAACAATGATATAATCTATTGCTATTGCAACAACAAAGGACACGTGAAGATGGATTGCTATGAGTGGTGGAACAAATTTGCTACTACAGATTAGAAAGGACAAACACGAAATTTTGATGATGCTAATCTTGCAGAAGAAAATTATATTGATGGAGATCTTTTGGCAATTTTTGATCGCAACTCCAAACCTGGCGAAGATTGGATTATTAATTCGGCTTGCACTTTTTATATGTGTCCAAATCGGGATTCTTTTTCTTCGTATGAAAAAGTTACAAGGGGTTCCATAATGAAAAATAATGAACCTTGTAAAATAGGTGCTATTGATAATGTCAAAATCAATATATTTGATGGGGCGATTAGGACATTTGGCCAGATCCGACATGTTTCAAGTATAAATAAGAATGTAATCTCATTGAGTACTCGGATACAGGTATACCGGCGAAGTGGAATTCTGAAAGTTAACAGTGGTACCCGAATTGTGTTAAGGGAGCGGATAAAATCCCGATTATATGTGTTAGAAGGCGCGACGATCACTATGGATGTAGCTGTAGCTTATGATTGTACAAGCAGTGACGGCGATTGTGATAGATTTGCTTGAGGTGATTCGAACAATAATATTGGAAAATCTTCCAATAGCTCAAGTAAAGCTAATTGTCATCTTGTTGATCATGTTGCTCGTGGTGATTTGAGTAGGTTTGACAATTCAGATGGAGTTGGAAGTGTTCGAGATGATTCGAGCAGTCTTGGTTACTTGACTGGAGCTACAAGTGAACAGAATTATTCTAGTAAGGTTGGCGGACAACATAGTTCTATTAGTAAACAGAGCTTGAATTTAGTTCACAGCTATTACAAGGGCTTGGAGTGCCCGGAAGGGGCGAAATGGATGAGTTGAAGAATGACTTGAAAAGAGAAGACATAATTCATTGTTTTGGAATTTGTGTCAATGTGAGATTTGTTAGCTTGTAACCTCAAATTCCATGTGTAGTTCATGGAAAAAGCTTAGATAATTTTGATTTAGAAGCCCGGATAGATGAGGGATCAAATTTCATCATGCATTGAGAGTTTGATTTGAATAAGGACTCCACTCCCATAACTCCAAGATTTAGCTCTAAATACTCTACAAGGTGTAGACTCTTCATAGGCCAACACAACAATTAGATCATTGTTTTATACATTAGAAACTTGAGAAAATTGGTTAAATTTAAATTGAGAAAATTAAATTTGTAAAGACAATTTTAGTCCCTTGATATAATAAATTCTCTTCTTCTTCTACAAAATTCTTGTTTGTTATGTGATCTATTAATTTCATATTGGCCATATTTTCTCGTTCTTTAATTATTTGATCGAATTCTCAACAAATTGATATCAAAGCTATTCAACTTTCAACAAAGTGGTTTCAGGTCTAGTCCGAATTTTAATAGTTTTTTTCTCAACAAAAAGACAACCCTAAACAAAGGCCAACTTCTACTGCAATGAAAAAAGAATAAGAGAGACATGGCCCTGATTGACCTACATTATTTCAAAAAAAAAAATACATTCTTAAATAGTGATTTGACATCATTTCAACCGCACTTTTTTCAATAAAATAATATTACGCGTAAATCCAAAATTTTCTTTATTTTTTAACCACATATATCTCATCAATACACTATTTAAAAATGCATTTTTATAAAAATAATGTGGTTCAAACAAGGACATAATCTATCTTCATCAACTGATCAGCATGTTACAGAAAACAAATATGGAGGCATGCAAAATTTTTACTACCCAATTCCAATAGTGACTATTCCCGTTGATATCAAAGCAAAGCAAGGCATTATCAAAGGAGACAATCGAAATTTTTAAAAAAATTAATTGAGTCTATCACTTTGTTCTTAAGATTTGAAGTTCTTTGTTGAAAGACAACTAAAATCAATTTTTTCCTCAATTACATGATTTGTCTCTCCTGTAATGTTTGTTATCAAGGAAAATAGCACCTGAGAAATTCATTGAGCTTCTACTTCTGTTAAGCTATTGTCTGCATTGTACCATTTGATATTGTTTTAGAACTCAACAAGCCCACAAAAAGTATCCAAGCGAACAAACGCAATGGACAGGACAACTCACTACTGATTTCTCAAAATTTATTCAATGTTTTCAACCCCGCTGTGCACAAAATTACCAAAACAATCTTCTTGGCAAAACCTATATTTAGTTTCAAATAGGTTCATCTTTAGTTGGGTTTCCTCAATAATTTATGCTTTAACATAATGCATGTTAAGCATTTGTATTTGACAATTATCAATTGGTAAAGTAAAAAAAGAAACGAAACAGAGGATGAAACGATTTGTGTTTTCTCTATAACCTTGCCTTGGATGGGAACAAATTGCCATAACTTGACAATGACTTGAGAACATGAAATAGAAAACCATTCTAGGTAATAAACACCTTGAAAGTTTGGCTGGCAGATTACTATTCAAATAGCACTTCCAATATTTCCCCAATGTACTAAATTGATCGAGCGTAACATACATAACTAATCTGCTTAACTGGTTCAACAACATAATCATCACTGAACTACGGACACAGCTAAATATGTGAACAATACAGACATTTACAGTTAATCCATCAAAAGTTTCTTTTAATATAAAGCATTAAAAAGTGATTAACGCAGTTTCAAATTACCAAAAAGCTCAAACTGCCGAAGGTAGTTCGGTATCTAGCCAATAGCCACCCCATCCTTCTGCTTAGCATTCTTCTCCAGTGACATAAATTCATGAAGTTTCTCTGCTTTATGCCTCATCTCCAAAATCATCTCCTCTGTGGCATCAATGATTTGTTTAGGAAGGTAAACTTCTAAATAATCAAACCATTCCCCGAGTGTCATCGTGTCCAAATCAACCATTTCCTCCCTATCTACTTCAACACTGCTTCCTTTCGTCCCAGAGGCACTAGCCAATCCAGCATCACCTTCTCCTCCCAAATTTGTCCCCTCCTTCACCAACCCATCGACTCCATCTTCTTCTAATTTCGCTTTCTCTCCTTCACACATTTCATGCTTTGAATTCATTTTTTCCACCGCTTTTTCCTCTTCATCTGTTTCAACAGGTAAATTCTTCTTGCCTCTTGTGGCTTTCCTTGTCTTTCTACCCTCAGTTACACCCAAATCAAGTCCAGTATCACCGATTTTTTCTTCCTTTATTGAACTCCTTGTGCTCCGAACACTCCCTCTCTGCACTGCTTTCATCAAACTCGGTCCATCCCAAATTTCATCCAAATCTTCCAACTTCTCTTCCTCTTTTGAACTTCTAGTCCTCCTTGTAGTTGCATTCCTCCCTCCTTTCCCCTTAACTTCCCATACATATTCCATTTCTTCCGCAATTTCTTCTTTGCCATTTTCAAAAGCCCCTGAATTCACTTCCTTCTGGGCCCTCCTAGTCCTCCTCAAGCTCACACTCACTTTCCCCGCATTCTCCGTTTTGTTCTCCATTTCTTCAGAACGATTTTCCAAGGCCCTATTCGACCCCATCGCCCTCCTTCCATGCACCTTTCTCTCGTCATTCTTTACCAATTCTCCACCTTCATTTTCCATAACCACATCTTTTCCACTTCTATCCCTTCCCCTCAAATTTTTCCTATCCCCCAATCTATCTTCAATCCCTAACTCGGAATCCTCGTCAATCACCGCCAATTCCACCACCTTCTGTCCTTGAGCCGCTGTCCCTCGCCTCGGATTCCTCCTGGTTTTACCAATATTACCCTCACCCTGGCGACCTGTCGCTTCAAATTTGACTCTAATCGAAGTTAGCTCACCTATCTTGACAACGTCACCGTCAGATAGAACACTGGATTCGGCGGGTTCGAGCTGGGCATCGTTCAAGATGGTGCCATTTGAGGACGCGAGGTCCGTTATAGTCCATTGACAGCTTTTCGGGCCAGGATCCGGATGTGAATTTGATGCATATTGGATTACTACGTGCTTGGAGGAAATGCCGGCATCTTTGATAGTTATACTGTTACCGCGGACGACCCTACCGATTTGGATTCGTGATCCGGATCTGAAGTCAAAGGTTTGGCCCGAAAGTGGGCCCTTTTCCACTATGAGTTTCAGCGTCGGGCATTGTTCTTCTGAACCGGTTGCTGTCGTCGATGCCATTGCCAGTGCCATTGATTTGCTTTAATTTCTGGATTCCGTTGAGGGATTCAGGAGCTGAACTGAAAAGAAAGGGAAAGAGGGGTTTTTTGAAAGTTTGAAATTGGTTAATAGAGGGAACTGGAAGGAGACTTTATTTTATAGAAATTCTCGCCCACGGTCCTCAAACATTACCATTTGTCTCACTTGAGCCCCTGTTTGGTCACACTTCTCTTCACCCTTTTATATATATATATATATCAAGGAGTCCGCATTCGACGATTATTCCTTGGGTCTATGATCCGACCCCTCTTCACACAGACCAATTAAATTGCGGGATGTGCCTCCTACTGACCAGGGTCCGAGCGCCTCTCCAACTGAACTGTCAAAGTGACGAGTGAGTCAATCCACGTTGTGTCTTGCCTTTCAAGACATTCCTGCTTTCCAGGATAAATCCTACCTTCCGAGCCCCACGAATCGAATTCACGACATCTGAACTGCCAACTTTGATAGTACCATTGGGAAAAGCCACAGATGTTGACCAATGTAATATCGACCACAATTATTGCATTCATTTATAGTTGGATATGTAAAATGACTTATATGTCATTTAACATTACATTAATTCTTTCTGTAGAATGACACTTATGATAATTCAATTATAATAAAATATTGCTTTAGGGTTTTTTGTCAGCAATTGCGGCTGATATTTAGGAGTCAACAAATGCCGCTTCTCATATACATTGTGTAATAGTCTTGAAAAAAAAAAAAAAAAAAAAAAAAAAAAAAAAAAAAAAAAAGAAGAAGAAGAAGAAGAAAAGCACGACTAGACAATGGCTTTTTATTTTAGGGAAATTTTCATCCACAATCATCAAACATTACTATTAGTCTCGCTTGGGTCCCCATTTAGTTTTTGGCAGCATTTATGTCCTCAAAGTGTCTTTTTGGTGCTTATAACAACGAATAAACAAAAATCGTTCAACTTTACGTCAAAAAGTCACTTGCAATGATCTAGTTTTAATTAGATACGCATTCTTTTTAAAATGAAAGGTAGCTTCTTAAGCATAATTTTCGACGACACAGTATATTTAAGAACTCAATAAAATTCAGCCAGACTGATTTCTAGTGTCCATTAGCCTTGTGTTATGGCTATTGGATTTTCCATAATGGGATATGTTATTGTACACTGCTTCTTTTTAACACAATATACGAACTTTCATTACAATGAAATGTCTTGAAGCGCAAGCGAAATAAAATGAGTTTATTTGATCGATTGAGAATTCGTAGTAAAGGATGCAAGTGAATTGACTTTGTCACCCGTATCTAGGTTAACATTGGATGAACCGTATCAAACATTAATAAGTAGAAAATAGTTATAATTCGATTCCACTAAAATCCACTATTAAACCTTGTTTTCAACATTGAAAAATCAAATAGAAACTATAGCAGCCCCTCAAAATTAGCAGAAAATTGAACTAAAATACAAATTCAAAAAATCATTTTCAGTTGGACCACTTTGGTATCAATCCTACCGATATAAGCAGATTTGAAAAAAAAAAAAAAAAAAAAAAAGGGGGGGGGGGGGAGGGGGGGGGGTTTGCAACATTGGTTACTTAGCCCGTGTTTGGCCCCTTTAAATCTCATCAATCTAAATTAAATTTTTCTTTTTTCTATTTTCAACCACACAATATTCAGTAAAATAATATTGCACGTAAATCGAAAACTTTGCATTCTTTTATAATCACTCGTTTTTCAAAAAAAGTATTATTCCTCCCATTATAATTCAAATTAATGGGGGCCAAACGGGGGCTTACCTTTTCAATTTTTGCATACTTATCATAACCTTCATTTTATGTCATGAGCGTCCCTAACTTTTTATAAATATACAATTGGAGTTCATCTGGGTGAAAACTATCCACTTTTTCCGTTAGTTGACCAAAAATGGAAAATTTGATCGATTTTGACCAAAAATAAAAGGGCAAAATGATACTTGACATTTTTTTTCATATTAAATAAGTTATTTAATTAAATTAAAAACTAAAAAATAAGTATAAATATATAAACCCCCCATCGCCACCCTATTCCATCCCCCATTCAAAACCTCTCTTCTTCTTTTTCGATGAAACATTACCACCCACCCACCGCTACCACCTTTGACCACACTATCACCACCGCCACCATAACTCTCCTCACCATAATCCCACTACAAGTGTCAACACCCTCCACGGAAAAAAACCAAGAAATGTCCACAGTAATCTACGAAAACTCACATCAAACCAAGCAGCCCCTCAAATTTCGGTCAAGAGTTATAGGCCAAGGGCTCTAATTGAGAGTTTTAGTCAACCCATACCCCTTTATCCATCAAAACCAGATCAAGGAATAGCACCAGAACACAAAAATTGTCGAAGTCAACTAACCTGACAAGTAAATCGATTCAATTACTTTTGATTGAAAGTACAATCCCAATGATGGTATAGAAGAAACTTCACAGAAATAACATCATCCACTTCGTCCCTTACATGGTTAGTTGCAACTGATGAGGGCTTCAAACCCTTCCTCCCAGCATTGGAGGTGGCAACGATGATGGTGGCCATGTCAGGGGTAAGGTGCCTCATCTTTTCAAAATTTTCTGCAAAAAGAAGAAGAAAGTCTGAAGCTAGGCAAATCAATAAAATGGTTATCTCAACACAAAAGATGATCTACTTCTTCGAGCTATTAAACCAAATTCCTTGAAGAATAGCCTAAAATGGATTAAACAATCAAACTTCTTTGCAAACAAGTGATAAAAGATATGTCCTCGACTATGTCCCACTCGGCCTTAGATAACTCGAATTGATCAATTGGTCCTATACAACATGAAAGAAGGACAAAATGAAAGTTAAGAATTAGCTAAATTAATTATCAAGTTAAAGTCCAACAAACTCACGAGCTTCTGAGTATAATGTGGGAACTATTACATAGGAAACGGTGTCATCCTCACACATCTCCCAATTTCCCCTCACCCAGAATCATATCTCTTTCCACCCTTTGAAGGAAGAAAGAAGTCCTATAACGAATAGAGAGTGCGATCCTCTCAGACATAGGGAGTACCAACCTTTGGAGGCCCCCTTTTCGTGAAGTCCTAGGTTGAAAGATAGACTGGAAAACGTGAAGGGACATGTCATCACCAAGGGAGGTCTCCATCCACGGGAAATAGGTTCCCATTAACTGGGCCCGAGCATTGGAGACGAGCTAGGTAGGAGCCAACCAGTACAACCTCAGGATGGCTCTCAAAAAGAGATAAAGAGGAAGACAAAGACCTACCTTCAAAAGAAACTCACTGATGTCAACACAAATCCTGCCTATGAAAACAAGCGCGCTCATCATGAGAGAGAGCTAGGAGCTCGATGTTGTAGGAGATTCAATACTTCTCTCTCTAATTAACCAAGTGGGACGCAGTTACAATTGATGGGATATTGGAAGCCCCCTAAACAACCTCATCACCTGTCCCACCCTCCTTAAGATGTAAAGTGCTCTTTCCAGCCTAATGGCTCGAATAAGGTCGGTTGTGGTTGTTAGGATAATCCCCATCTCAGATGCTACTTGGCTAATGTCTAAATCTCCCTCAAAAGGTAAAGCCATTAGATTAAAGATTTGAATACTTACAAAGATTAAACAAAAGGAGAGTAGACGAAAGTAATTGAAAATTGCAAAACTAGTTGAAATACAAATTTAGAGAACAAAAAGAATGGAGAGAATTCAAATTCCATTATCAATGAAGGCAAAAGTGATTTTCGCCCTAATTTACTACCTTTTATAGGGAAATACACTTAATCTAAGCCGTTGGATGTCGATCCAGATCGTCCAACCGTTCATTTGGAATTTAAATCTGAACCATCTACCATATTGGCCATTTCACCTTCAATGGCTTAGATTAGAGCATCGACATCACGCGCTCCAACTCATCTGAACTGCGTAAAACGCACATGCAACAGCCATCATTACTCATTAAATGCAATGACAATTGCATATGTGGAGAACCGAACCACCTCAATGGTCATCTCTTGAAAAACATAAAAAAAATAGCAAATCATTTGGACATGACAATTCAAGATGCCTTGTATTCATTATGCCCATTTACTGGCCTCCTCAAAATTATAGCCTCCACCTTCGATCAAATAGACAAAGCTCCCTACTTCAGCCTCATCTCCCATAGCCTCGACGGGACTCTAAAAATAGAATGGTAGGCAACATCGGTCAAGTGGACCTCAATTATGCTTAAACTTCTCAGTAAGCAGGAAATCTAGCGTACAACTTCGATAAATGACCTCGATAAGTACTTCAAACTATTTATCATAAATATATTTTCAAATTCTAATTCATATATGAATAATTACAATTAGACTTGGGAACTATATATTGGATGGTTAAAATCACCCTACAGCAAAAATTTTATAACATAAGTTCATGCATTGTTACGCCTCGTATCAGTAGCTCTTGGCAGAGACCACGTCAAAAGCTACATGGCTAAGCTACATGAAAACATCTGACAATCAACAAGGTCAAATGTAAAGTAAGGGAATAAGTTGCTTTTTCATAGGCTGAAGCGCTCGCTGCCTCCGAAGTCTTCTTACCAAAGCACTCCTTCTTGGTCGAACTTCCTCACATCCAAAGCTCTCTCTTAAGGTCGAAGCACTGGCTGCCTTCGAAGCGGGCCTGAAGAGTATTTTTAGGAATAATTGACGTGGCGTTTGTATTAATGAATGTCAAAAGTGTCAGCATAGGATATATGATAGCTAACCCCTTTCAACGCAATTAATATATGACAGAGAGTGATGTGTATCCCCGAATAATGGGATGAGGCCATGTGGTTTTAATCCAACAGTGACCACGTTGGCCTCCACTCTACAAATAACAACTCTTCTAACATTTTAAAGGATTAGAAAAATTATATATGCAAACTCTATATATTTGAAATCATAATCTTCTGCTTATTTTTCATTTTTATGTGCTTGAACTTGTATTTCTTTCTATTGGTCGGTGCGTTGTTTATACTTGATAGTTTGTTTGTGATCATTGTTAATCACACTGTCGGTCCTCGAACATTTTCATCTCGTATCGTAAAGCATC